CTGAACTAAGTGAACAGGTTTAATCTGACTGAACTAAGTGAACAGGTAATAATTTGGGACCCTGTGAACATAATTCCGCTCCACCACATGAGGTGCGAATGACAATAAAGAATGTCTGACAGGTAACACACCTGAGCCCAGGTCAGGAGTCTCTGCAGGGATTACGCTCCCTGGTCTGAAGCGAACAGAACTTTGGGTTAAAAACACGGAAGTTAAACGAAACATCACGGTTTCAGTGTGAAGGACCAAACGATTTGAACCTTGTTACCTTTAATGAGGAGCTCTGCAGTAACAGACGGTCACCGAACATTCAGCGGTGCACCACTCTATACGATCCTTCTTCAACAAAACTTCCGCAGTAACAGTTCCGCTTCTTCTTCTACGTTTTAAATTTGAGGCGGTTTAAAACGAACTCGGCTCTTTTCTGCCCCCACACACGAAGAAGACGCAAAGAAACAGGCATTTTAGGTTAAAACATGAAAAACATCAAACACTCTGTAAAAACTGTACTTTGTGTCAAATTAAATATATTTTCCGAAATATATTGTATATTATACACTGGCAGTATAATGTATTTTAACTGCATATTTATATTTGCTATTATGTATAAGTTAAAGAAAAAAAACTAAGCTCAAATGTCTGCAAAATATAAATAGACACATCCATCCTCTTTTACGCTTCTTCCATTTTGGGTCATGGGGGTCACCGGGGCCTTGTCCAGCAATCACTGCGAGAGGTGTGGGGGACACCTGGACAGGTGTCCAGTCCATCACAGGGACACATGGAGACAAACAACCACTCTCACCTAGAGACAATTCAGAGTCACCATCAGTCCAACATGCATGTTGTTAGTATGTGGGAGGAAACCCAGATGATTGATTACTGCGTGATGTTCGTGATGATTGATTACTGCGTGTTGTTCGTGATGATTGATTACTGCGTGTTGTTCATGATGATTGATTACTGCGTGATGTTCATGATGATTGATTACTGCGTGATGTTCATGATGATTG